GCTGGCTTATCGCCAAGCGCACTTTGATTGTGCTTAATCACACTCGCGTTCTAAGGGCGATATTCGCCGCTTTATCATGGTAGCAGGTGCACGGTGATCGCAACCAAAACCAAAATACACACGGGCGACACCCGCACTACACACACGAAACGCACACGCGAATTTACCAGAGAGGTTCCCCCAACGTTCCCCCAGCCGGGGGAGTTTCACCTGACTTGCAGTGCGCACAGTGAGAACCGTCGAGTACGCGGCACCACCAGGGGCGGACTACGACGGCCGGACGTTGACGCTGCGCAGCAAAGGACCGGCGGTCGCGCCGGGCGGCGACGACGGCGCGATCGAGCCGGACGTCTACGACGACTTGCCCGGCCTCGTCGACGGCTCGGACGACGACGACAGCGACGTCGAGACATCGTGGACGGACGACAAACCGGCGAGGGACCCGGCGCTTTCCCTCCCCGTTGATCCTATTGGGGACTCGTTGAGGAACGCTGGAATCAAATGTTGAAATGCGTTTTCCCTGTGGCAGGCGTTGCTTACTACTGTGAGATTAAGCGCCTGAGCCCAGCGCAGTCAGCTAATAAATAGTTTAAAAATTTAAATAATTTTCTTCCATCATGATGCGCGGTTCGACAGCTGATGGAGGTGTGATTTCCGGGGAAAAACTATTCCTAAGAAAAATTCAAGAGTCGCTTCGAATGATATCCGACCTCGAGATGGAGCGTCTGCGCTTGGCACATGTTCTTTCTCTTACGAATGCGCTAATTGCTGATAACCATTCCCCGCTTAACTTGTCAACATCCGTACAAGATGCATCGAATATAGAAACTTCACGAGCTACAAACATTGAAACGCCGGCCTTTCGTGTGGGCAGTTTGGGAGGTTGCCGCGTAGTAGTTCGGTGTCATTGGCAAATCTCTATTTTAGGTGGAAAGCCGGGTGAGGATTCCTTCGAGCGATCTTTCCTTCGATGCGTAAACCTTTTTGTCTATCAAGTGATTCTGCATGAGGATTCCATAATCAGGTTGTCCCCTGGGGACTAGTCGACGGACAGGGCGCTTTTGTGGCCATAAACGACCGGTTTGTCCAAGTGTCTGGTTATAGTAGATCCGAGCTTCAAGCTCGAACCCTCTTTTCGCTGTTTAGATCAGAAGATCTCGCCGATATTGTCGAAATTACCCGTTTGCTTCTGGCAAGAACAATTCCCGAGCCAAATCCTGATGGGCAGCACGGATCTGACCAGCCCGTGTTTGCCATCGATGGGCAAGCTAAATCTGACGTTTTTGGAATAAGGAACCGCCTTCATCTCATCATCCAGCTTTGCTGCCTGAACAAGATGAGACCGAAGTCTCCTTCACACATATCAGTCTGTTGCTTTGCACCGACGGATGATTTGCCCCCGCAGTAGGATACCATGCTATATGAAGACGAGTCCAGCTTCGGGCTGGACTCGCACTTACGGTTAATACGGCGCTCAGGTCGGCAGCAGTGGCCCTAGGATTGGACCCTGCTGACCACGCCACCCACTCATTACGGGCTGGTGGAGCTCTCTTCGAGCCTGAGGGAGGAATTTACCTTACTTCCTTGAGCTTCAGGCTAGTGGGAGATACGAAAGGCCAAGTGGACGGAAGTAAATTACAAGGGGAGAGAGGAGGGGCATAACTAGGGGAGCGAACTAGGGATACTCTCATATTCCTCTAACTAGAGAAAACTCTCCTATATTACTAGTCCTTACACACCTAATTGTCGGTTCGCTGCAAAGGCTCAACAACAAACAAAACGAGTGCTGAGAATCGACTCGTTCGAGCTCTAGAGCTCAAACAAGCTCACAACTGATGCCCTCCATGGAATTCATAACACTGCTGCGCCACCTGTGGTTGTCGAGCCGGGCTATGGTAATTTTATGTTGAACTTCCCCACGCCTATGTTCAAGTTGCACTTATTGACATCGTGTGGTCCATGTGAGCCATTCGAGGCGCCTAGAGCACCGGACACGCCGTTCCATCGAACTCCGAGCACATCCATGAAGCCCTGCGGCCCACACACTGCCCGGCGGCGGCTGCTGACGACCACAGGCTACTTCAACATAGGGCTGCCTATTCAAGTTGAACTTCAACATGGGGCTGGGCCGCGCTCGTTTCGGCCACTCTTTTGCTCCAGAAACGTTGGAATAGAGCAAAACTTCATGCGGATGCGTTTATTCCAACGTAATTGCACGCGTTTTATGATCGACTAGTCGAATTTGGTTGATCCGTCTCACGAAACGACAATTAGGCTAGTCAGGAGGAAGTACTTTTTTAGTTCGCACGGGCGTGTTTTGCGCACTGACTACGTAGCTGGCCTATCGCCTCGCGCACTTTGGTTGTGTTTTATCACACTCTCGTCTCTGGGGGCGATAATCGCCGCTTTCTTTAGGGCTGAAGTGCCCGGGAACTTTGTAAATCTAGCTGAGCACCGGCTACCCCGAGACCTAGCTTCTGTTGTCGAACTCCTCACTGCCAGGAAACTGCCCTTATCGACGCTGCCCACGCTACACTTCAAAGAACCTCAGACGCTGGGACTTACCGAACTGTGCAATAGTATCCCATGGGTGCCTCATCCACATGTTTGCGGATCTCAAAGCCGCTGGGGTCGTTGCACGTCGCTGCATATTCGCCGAGCGCGGGGCCTTGTCCAACGCACGATCTCATGGAAGAAACAAGACCCCCAACGTTGAGAGTGTCGACATACAGGTAGGCTCCCGACTCTGCGGTCGACGAAGCCGCGCACCGCGCACCGCAGCCTTTCCGTGTGAATACCCGCCAGGAGCCGGCTCCTGTTAAGGCCCCTGTTCCCCATGGCCCTAGTGGATCGGCTCGCGCCGCCTCAGGAGCGCACTGATTGCCATTGTTGTATTGGAGCAAGGTGAATTTGTCGAATTGTGCTATGCCGTCAAGCCGAAATGCGTCGACGAACGCAGTAAACGCCACCCCGCTGGCCCCACAATCCCCCAGGAAGATAGCTCGGAGCACGCCCG